TCCCAGCTTGCCACTGCCCTCTTTCCTAGAGCTGTGGCTGTTGGCAGGAACTAGCAAAGCTCTTTTTTGGTTTCCAAAGTTGCAATGAGCTACTTTCTAATAATTCAGTCAGGATAGTCTGGGAGACAGGTGTGTCCAAGAAGCTGAGTGCACATGTCATGGGTGTGAAGGACATTCATTTCTGTAGCATATCATTCACTTTGACTGTCTTTGAGCGTTTTGGCCCTGCCTCTCTTCAGGAACTGTACAGCCAGTCTTATGATGAGATTGGAGTTATGTTTGCCTCCCTGCCCAATTTTGCTGACTTCTACACAGAGGAGAGCATCAATAATGGCGGCATTGAATGTCTGCGCTTCCTCAATGAGATCATCTCAGATTTTGACTCTGTGAGTGACTACCCTGGCCCCCGCACCCTGCCACAAAGCCAGCCCTTCCAGATTGCAGCCCAAGAAGTTTGGGAGTTACTTTGGCTGCTGTTTTCCCATAAAAACTCCTCCTCAAAACGCATGGCCTTCTGTAGTTGTCTGGAAATGTTGGGTCCCAGGTGGGAGCCTGGGAAATCACCTACAAGCTCATAGGATAAGGTCTGGCCAAAACAAGATTCTGCGGCCCCTCTGGTTCCTCTTATCCTCAAATTCAGATTCAGCAAACATTTATCAGGTATTAGTAACTTGTGTACCAGGGGAAATGCTTTTACATACACGCTCAACACTTCAAGACTGGCCCTTTTATCCCTGTGTTAATGTGGTAGAAACTGAGGCTCAGAAAATCAGGACATTGGCCCAGGATAACATGGCACGTGTTGGCTAAATGAAGCTTTTATAGGAAAACATCTCTTAGATGTTTCATGGGTTTGTTGTTAAAAAAAAAAAGGGCAGATCTGTCATTTGGTTGGCTCATTCATCTCCCTTGACTGCTGATAATTCTCTCTTAACACTGGCCTCAGCTTCTGGACAATCCCAAGTTCCGGGTCATCACCAAGATCAAGACCATTGGTAGCACCTACATGGCAGCTTCAGGAGTCACCCCAGATGTCAACACCAATGGCTTTACCAGCTCCAACAAGGTAGCTAACCTGCAGTAGCTAGAGATGGATGGGGCAAGAGAGAGGCAGCCTACACATCATTGGTGGGAAATGGTCTAATAAAAATAGCTGCCATTAAGTACTGTTGTTGTTGCGTGAAGGCGTCCCTTAAGACACACACCAACTAGCACCATGCAGTACAAATATAAACACAGCTTTACTGAATTTAATGAGCAGAGAGGAGAACACACATGACCCTCCTCCTGCACTCCTGTTCCACAGCTTAGGCTGGGCACAAGATGGTTTGTGTAATTGTGCACATGCTCTCTAGTTTGTTGAAATATATAGAGTTGATTTACAATCTTGTGTTCATTTCTGCCATACAACAAAATGATTGTTATATATTCACATTCTTCATTTTCTTTTCCATTATGGTTTATTACAGGATATTGAATAGTTCCCTGTGCTATACAGTAGGACCTTGTTGTTTATCCAGTCTCTGTGTAATAGCTTGCATCTGCTAATCCCAAACTCCTAACCAGCCCTCCCCCACCCTACTTAGTAACAAGTCTGTTCTCTGAGTCTGTTTCTGTCTCACAGATAAGTTCACTTGTGTAATATTTTAGATTCCACATGAAAGTGATATATGCTATTTGTCTTTTAGACCTAGTGTGATAACCTCTAGGTCCATTCATGTTGCTGTAAATGGCATTTTCTTTCTTCATGGCTGAGTAGTATTTCACTGTATGTATACATGTGCCACATCTTTATTCATTCATCTGTCATTGGACATTTGTTTCCACATCTTCAGTTCAGTTCACTCAGTTGTGTCCTACTCTTTGAGACCCCATGACTGCAGCACACCAGGCTTCCTTGTCCATCACCAACTCCTGGAGCTTACTCAAACTCATGTCCATTGAGTCGGTGATGCCATCCAACCATCTCATCCTCTGTTGTCCCCTTCTCCCACCTGCAATCTTCCCCAGCATCAGGGTCTTTTCCAGTGAGTCAGTTCTTTGCATCAGGTGGCCAAAGTACCGGAGCTTCAGCATCAGTCCTTCCAATGAATATTTCCTTTAGGAAATGTTTAGGACTGATTTCCTTTAGGATGGACTGGTTGGATCTCCTTGCTGTCCAAGGGACTCTCAAGTCTTTTCCAACACCACCATTCAAAAGCATCAATTCTTCAGCACTCAGCTTTCTTTTATAGGCCAACTCTCACATCCATACATGACTACTTGGCTATTGTAAATAGTGCTGTAATGAACACTGGGGTGCATATATCATTAAAATTAAAGTTTTCTCCAGATATATACCCAGGACTGCAGGATCATATGGTAACTTTTTTGAGGCATCTCTGTATGGTTCTCCATGGTGGCTGTACCAATTTACATTCCTACCAACAGTGTAGGAGGGTTCCCTTCTCTGCACTTGTTATCTGTAGACTTTTTACCAATAGCCATCTCCATTTTATGGATGAGCTTAAAAAGACATGTCTAGGACGGTGTTTATAAGCTAGCTAAAGGCACCCAGCTAGCCCTGGCGCTCACAGCCACTCTCTGGCACAGGAGGAGAAGTCAGACAAGGAGCGCTGGCAGCACCTGGCAGATCTGGCTGATTTTGCGCTGGCCATGAAGGACACGCTCACCAACATCAACAACCAGTCCTTCAACAACTTCATGCTGCGCATTGGTAAGGCCTCTCAGCGTGCCAATCCTGCTGTGTGCCCTTCTCCCCAAGCAGGGGGCTCTGCAAATCAGGGGAGGGGTCTTGGAAAGACCTGATGCACTTTGGGTGGGGAGGGTCACACTTCTCAAGCTGAAGGGAACTTAAGGGTCTTTAGGTCAGTGATCAAACCAAAAATGTGATACTCAGCCATTCCTGTCCCATGCTGTTTATGATGGCCTCCCTTCTGAATCTGGCTGGGGCTTGAGTTTGTCTCCCTTTCCAGGGAATCTTCTGTCACTTCAGTCTAGCCCATTAGGATTAACATCACCCATCACACACTTTTGGGGAGGGGGGTTCTCAATCCTGGGCAAGGTCACAGGAGACTTGAAGTACCAGGTGGGTGGCAAGAGAAACTGGCAACTTCTGCACTAAATTACTTAGCACAGCAGGGTGGCTGATGTCTGCGGAGCAGTGAGGACGAGAAGACTTGATTTCTGTCCTCTGGGAATTCAAGAGTCAGGCTTGATGAGATTGGTTATATAACTAGGAGCTTTGTGGCTGGAGTCAGGTGGAAATTGTTGAAAGGAGCTGGTGGCTTCTGCGAGCTCAGCTTGGGCTGAGCCCAGTTCTGTGCCCCCACCCCCCCCCCCCAGGAATGAACAAAGGAGGGGTCCTGGCTGGGGTCATTGGAGCCCGGAAGCCACACTACGACATCTGGGGCAACACAGTCAACGTGGCCAGCAGGATGGAGTCCACAGGGGTCATGGGCAACATCCAGGTAGGTCCAGGGAACAGAATCAGAGCAGGGCATGTGTTGCTGGGCACTGCGGCCTCTGTTCTGTGGGCCCACAATGTTAAGCGGGTAGTGTTGCAGTCAAGAGCAAGAGTGGGAAGAGCTGCCTCAGTAGAAGGGAGGAAATATTTCAACTCTTATTTGCAAAATGTAGGTTTAAGTTTTGGGTAAGAACATCCTGCCTTTTGATGTGAACTAGCTGACATTTTGGGCCTCCAAGTGCTCCCCTCAAAACCATCTGATCTTTGTCACTGGGATCTGGCAGGAAAGCTCCACAAAAAAAGGCAAAGAAGACAGAAAAGCAAGATACAAGTTGCCAAACAAGGTGACCTATGGCTGACCTCCTGGAAGAGCAGGCAGAAAGGCTACCTGTGGGAGAGAGGAGGGCTAGGCAAACCTTCTCTCCACCCCCAACCCACCGCCATCTGTGCCCAGGCTGAAGGGGACAGGAGGGGAGCCCTGCAGACCTGAGTATGGGAACTGTGCTGGGTGCCGCCAAGCCCCTCAGCCCAGGCTCACTCTCTAACCCCAGGCTCTCGGTTCTCCTCTGTAGGTAGTGGAAGAAACCCAAGTCATCCTTCGAGAGTACGGCTTCCGCTTCGTGAGGAGAGGGCCCATCTTTGTGAAAGGGAAGGGGGAACTGCTAACCTTCTTCTTGAAGGGCCGAGACAAGCTGGCCATGTTCCCCAATGGCGCCTCAATCACACTGCCTCACCAGGTAGTAGACAACTCCTGAATGGCCTCCAGCTCTACGAGAACCCAAATGGGAGGGAGTTTATTTCTGGGAATCAAAGAAAGGCCTTGGGAAAGGACATGTGACCAAGTCCCAACAACTCAGGCTGTTGAAGCGCACTCACATAGACTTTAGGTTTAAGAACTCTCCTTCAGCCTTCATCTGTCCGTGGGCGTGCGAGCTCTGGGGGCGGCCATCCTATTCCTCAGCGTGCCTCTAGCTTCCCCAGAGTAGGGCTCACAGTCACAGTACTGGAAGGTTCCTTCCGGAGCCCTAAGTCTCACCAGCCCTCTTCCACCCAGAGAGGCCACGGCCACTGTGAGTAGAAAGGGCTGCCAGAGGAGGAACAAGGCTGCTGCCCCTGTGCCTGGCTAGAAGCACGGGTGGAGCACCTCTGCTTCAGATGAGGGCCGCCCGCTGGCCACCACTCGCTCCCCAGCTAGAACTCGGAAGCAGTGCTTTTCAATCTGAAGACCTGCTTATCTGTGGTCCGAGTTAGGTGAAATGGCCCTTGTCCTGATAAATCTTGAAAGGTTCTTCTGGAACCCGTCACCTTAGTCATGGGAGCAGAAAGTGCAATATTTCCTTTTACCTGGTGGGTGGGAGGGAGGGAGGGAAAGGGATTTCTGAAAGAAAAATATATAAACAGATCTTCTACATTTATATTTTTAACTTTCTGTTAAGAAAACATTCCAATATTGCCTTGCCTTTTGAGCTCTTGCTACAGTCGCCTTTGCTACTGCTTAAAGAGAGAATTTACAGGTATTGATAAAGAACAAGACTGTTTTATTAAAAGCTTTATTCAACTTGAATATGATCATTTGTGCCAATTCTGTTAACAGCCCTCATCTGAGAAGTGCTTTGCTCTCTCCCACATTGGTCCTCATGTGCCTGGAAGGCAAGAACTTAAACTACAACCTCTCTCTCATCCTTAGGCTGCTTCCTTCTAGATGGTGGTCCAAACTGGCTCGACCATCCCCCTGTGCTCCTCCCAGAGGTACCTGTGGCACCCACACCTACAGGTTGCTGCTTGGCCATCAGCTCTAGGACAGGACCATTTTAGAGTGAGGCCAGAATACAGCTCAGGGTTTTGGACAGTAAGGGTAGTGATGACTCCTATTTATGACCTGGCAAGTGACAGGTTTTCACATCCATGCACTGGCCGTGCACATACTCCCAAGGCAAGGAACAAAAAAAGCCAGCAAAGTGGAGGCCATGGTTATGTGGAGAGGTGGTTCACTAACTGGACTAGCAGAGGATGAAAACAATTGCATGGCCAGGGCCTGGAGCTTACAGAAAAGGGAAGAGATAAAGGAGAGGGGTCCACTTCCTTTGCAATGATCAAGGTATGAGTAGACTTCTGATCATGAGCTGACTCAATATATTCAGTGCTCTCCCAACTTGTTTTAGGAAACGACATTAGATACATGCAACCCCAATTACTCTATCCTTAGTACTCACACCACATTCTTTGCAAAGCAGTGGCTGAGAATATTCCACTCCAAACCAAAGATTAACCACCGTTCCCTTCTTAATTATATGATTCATGTCATATCACGAACCCTGAGAGTTCTAAGAACTTTCTTCTCAAAAGTCACAAATAAGAAAATGAGACAAAGTTAGCTGAAGGTTTCATAAAAGCTACATAATAACTCTTCAATTAAATGGTAATACTCCCTCTCTCACAAAATGCCTTCTGTAAAAAAATCTCATTTTCAGCTAAAACGTATGATTAATATCTCAAAAAGAAGAGATGATTTTGAGCACTGGAGCAAGTGACCAGGCAATTTTGGAGACCTATCCAAAAATGCCAGGGTCAACAGACCCAAACTTGCCCCTGACCATCCTGATAAGGTGGGTGTCTGTTTTCACTCCAGGGACAGTCCCCAGGAGAGGAGTCTGAGCCTTTCAACAGTTTTCCGTTCCCAGGACCTTGCCCGCAAGTGTGGTCAGTACTCGTTTACTCACTTCTGATGTGTTCCCAAAGAAAATATTCTAGGAGAGCAGGCTTATATCCAGCTTTTCTCCTTTTCTTGCAAATGATGTAAACACCTGATGTAGGGGTTTCGTAAAAAATAGGTTTTCATGGTCTGCTCGCTGTTCTTCCCATGTACTGGGTAATGCTTCCATCCCTGAAAAAAAAGAAAAGACAGGATCTATCAATCTCACTTAGTGCAACTGAAGGAATCAGAATCTAGAGCACTAATATTTGGGACCCATGGAGCTTTTTTTTCGTTTTTGGTCTGGAGCTGAGAGAGGCTTGCCCCTTATTGGTCCAGTGAAATTTTGAGACCAGAAACTTAGACTCTGCCCAGAGAAATCTAAATCCTATGATGTGAAACCTGCCTCCTAAAAATATTTTATCCTTTTTCTCGTTACTGTCCATTATGTAACGTTTAACAACATAAGTCTCGGCCATCCCTGAAAAATTCCCATTCAGAGACCGGTCTCTGCAGAGCTAAGGGTATGCCGACTTGTCACATCTACTTGGTTTCACAGTGAATCGAGTCTAGGCTTTCGCCACCACAGCAACTCTATGATGCAACCTCATCAACTGTCTAAGAGGGGTTTCCAATGAAAACAAATCATAAGCTGAAAGAACTCTGGTGGCGGTGGACTGAGCAAAGGAGAAAGAAAAAGTTGAATAATTATGTTTACTACTTAACAAGGAGGAGAGGAAAAACTGGCAGAAATAGGGCAGATATTCTTGGTATCTTACTGACTGTATTTTTTGGTTCACAGTATGGAAACAGAAAATAGTATCTCAACAGGACCAGCTGATACAATCTCACTATTTCACTCTGTTTCAATCATGTGAATAACACAGAGCATATTGTAATTTCTTCCTGGAGGCATCCTTCCTCTTACCTTGAGAAGTAACAGTGACGTCAGTTGGAAGGGTTGTTGTGAGGTCCTTATACAGCAGTCTAGCACAAAAGGGGAAGGACTGACCTTTCAGCTTCACTTTGTAAGTAAATGACAGCAAGTTGCACAATGAGTTCCTCTGCAAGGGCCCCACAAGGAAGGCTGCAAAGTCATTCTAATGGGGATGGGGATCAAAAGACACACAAAGTATATGACAATTACAGCTCTAAACGCAGTAAGTGGTTATGACACATCAAACATGTCTACCAAAAACAGGGCCCATTAATTAAATCTCAGAAATAAATGAAGGATAGAGAAAGGCCTGAAAAAAGGACAAATGATAGAGATTTATAAGATAATTAAGAGTTGGTAGCAGCCTAGAAGGCCTGTAGGAAGCACTTACTAAGTCAATGGCTAGAGACTGGGGAGACACTATTTCTGCTAAGAACTCAGGGGATGTCACATGTCTGGCTAAAATGCTTCATGTCTACATTCACATGTCAGTATCTAGCTGATAACCAGAAGTTTCAGTCATTCCAAATGCACAGAGAAATGCTAAGCTTGTAAGAGTCACTTATTCCCTGCTTGCATTCATTTCCATTTTTTCTCCCCCCCTTTTAAATGCAACCCTAGCTCAGTTACAATCCTAAGAATGCAAGCCTGAGCTTAGGCAAAGATGGACAGCATTCCTCTATGGCATTTTCAGAAACCATTATTCTGCTTTGCACCTATTCCCAAGGCTCAGCAAAGATACCTGGAACACAGTAGGTCATCTACTGGACCTCCACTGAATTAAAAATAAAGCAACTGTACGCTACCACTTTGTGAGAGGAAGGAAGGGTCAAGTATAAAAGCCTGAGAATCACCATGCATGAATAAATAATCCCTTCACCAGTACCCATGCTCAACACCATCCAGAGTTTCAACAGAAGAGGAGGTGGAAAATAGCTTGTGTGTAAATAAGAAATGAGCATTAGGATGACAACAGTCAAACTTCTGGCTTGGAATTATGAAGCATTCTAAAGTACAAAAGAACATGTCCCTTTCTTTCAAGTTTATCTGGGCTCACAAGATGCTTTATAAGACCACAGATACCTGAAGTCGATCTGCCTGGTACTTCCTCCCCGAGTAAGCATTTAGGTATTCGCAGAGAACAAACAGGAAGCGCTGAGTATTAGTCTGTAGGTATTTTGCAGATATCTCTTCTAGGGGAATGAAGACTGGAACCGAATGGTGATGTATCCAAAGTGGTTTCTCCATGACAAGGTCCACAAAGTAGGAATCCAGCAGGTTCCCCTCAAAAGCAGTGCTGATGCAGACACAGACTCCTCGGCTGGTCAGCTTCCCGCTGATCCCTGGGACAAGTAAGACAGTGCCTTAAGGGACGTGAGGCAAAGGCAGTATCCTGTTCATCTGTGCACCCCACGCCCCTCAGCTCCACCTAGTACACACACCATGCGCTCAAATGCTCACTGAACGAATGTCTAGACTCTTCTGACTTTGACTTACTTTGAATCTGTGTTCTTAAAACCACAGAATGGTGGGGGGAAGAAACATTCTAAGTATCAAATTATTGAAGAAGAGATTTTGAAATTTTCCATTTATCTATGGCTCCTTTTTTCCTGAGTGTCAAGTAACTTACGGTAGTCCCCAGGGCTTCTCACAATCCTCTTTATGACACAGATAATAGGTAAGTAAGTCCTCATTTTAGTGGTGAAACAGAGACTTGAGGGGTTTAAACTGTTTGAACAGTGGCATCAGGCAAACCAACTGTACAGGAAGTTCTAGCACACGGTTTAGCACATGGCGAATCACTACAATGAATAGTCTAAGCCAGTCACCAACCAATCTGCTGCTGCACAGCGGCCAACTTTGCAGGTAAAGCTGCCTGTGAATAGCATTCCAGTTCTGCATGTGTATGTCGGGGGGTGGGGGGGAAAATTCAGTGTTAATGAAATAGGGCCAGGACTAATAACGCATCTTACAAACTATCTCACTAGAGAGGAGACTCAGACTGAAACAGGTCAGAAAAATATCATACCTGTAAAACGATATGCCTGCAGAATGGCTTTCACGTTTTCCTGTTTTCTCTCCAAAATTTCTTGCTCACTAATCTCTAATGTTTGGTCAGGTTCGACATTGGCAGTAGATGCTTTAACCTGCAAGACATGTAGCAGATCAATCTGGGTACAGAGGCGTAATAAAAGTCCCATGCCCTCACCTATGTGGGAAAAATGTAAATGCAGAGTATTTTTTTTTTTAATGTTATGAATCAAGAAATGCTACTGTGGCCAGCCAGCTGGTGCTATGAATTCACAGTAGAGGAAGAATCTTGTGGGTTATATACAGTAACAGGAATCAGAAGTAGAAAATGTGCCGGCCTGAAGAACAATGCATTTGGCTGCAGTACAGAGTCTTGTGAGAGGAGAAAGAAAAGGAGGTAAGGAAAGCCTAGGGTAAGCAAAAACAGCTGTAAAGAGGCAAAGCAAGGAAAGTTGGGTCAGACTGTGCAAGCTTTCAAGTGCCAGGATGAGAAATACTGATTATAAGTTGCATACTGTGAGCTACAACCCAGTAGATGCTATCAAACTAACTCCTTCTGAGACAACTACATAAGCTGATGAAATACCAAAAAGAAATGAGCAATCATGCAAGTAAACAAACAGAAAATGGCCCAAAGGCATCAGAGAACCACCAAATTAGCCAGACTGAAGACTAAAGATAAATGTGGAAGTTAGTTGGGTTTTCCCCCTCATAGTGTTGTTGATTTTTATCACACAGCATACAGGCCAAATAGAAAGCTGCAGGCTAGATTCTGCAGCACTCTCAGTGCCAGGGCAACAGAAACTGGAGATGGAGGTTACCAGAGCAGTCTTCCTATGGGCCAAGATATAGAAATGGGAACCCAACAGGCTGCATGGCACTTGTCCTCCAGGTGTAACAGAAAGAAGCTGCTGAAAATCAAAAAGCTAAGCAGACTGTGGAGGTCAGGGCCTGCCGAAGAAGATGGATCTTAACACATGTGTCCTAGCACACCCAAGCTTTCAAGTAAGGCCTCCACAAAGGACTACACCCTTCAAGTGAGGGCAAACCAGAAACAGATGACCTCAGCTGGTTGACAGTGATGTGCCCATACACTATCTGCCTGTCAGAAAAAAACTGAAATTCTTTCTGGAAGAAGATAGCATAGTTCAGAATCCCTATTTTTTTCAAACACTACCCATCACTGAATTAAAAAGAAAAATTACCAAGCATATTAGAAAAGAGGAACAGATGGCTGAAAACCAGAAGGAAAAAGAAGACAACAGAAGCAGATCTGAGGGGATTCAGCTATTTGAGTTATTATCAGACATAGTCATTAACACAGATTAAAGAATGGAAAATTCATACCAAAGGGCTGGAATCTACTAAAAAGAATCAGATGAAAATCCTGAATCCAAAAAATACAGTTACAGAAATCAGGAATTCAACGGGTTTAAAAGCTGACCGGACACATAAGAAAAGTGGAAAATAGGTATATTTTCATAGCTAGATTAAAGCAGAGTAAAGATATAAGACAGCTCACAGTAAAAACAAAAACTCCACACATGGAAGCCCCAGAAATAAAGAAAAAGGACAAGACAGATACATTACTTGAAGAGATCCTGGGCAAATTTTCCAAACGAAAACTGCAAGTGATTAAGGAGTATTGTAACATAAAGCAGGATAAAGAAAGAAAATCAATCCTGGCCACATGATGATGTGAAACTGCTAAAACCCAAGGACAGAATCTTAAAAGCAGCCAGAGGAAAAAAGACAAATTATATTCAAACAGGAAGACTGACATCTGAAAGAAACCACAGAACCAGAAGACAATGAAAAAATGTATTTAAAGTATGAAAGAAAATAAATTTCAACCTCTAATTTGAATACCCAACAAAAATATCCATTTAAACATGAAAAACATAGTGAAATAAGGGTGCTTTTCAGACAGACAAAAATAGAGAATTTTCATTTCCAGCAAACCAACACTGATAATGGTACCAAAAGGAGCTACTTAAACTGAAGGAAAATAATCCCAGATGAAAATATGGAAATGCAGTACTAGAGAGCACTGAAAAGGGTAAATAGGTATATAACTTTATAGGCACAGTGACTGTACAATGAAGTGTTTCATAGAGTTTAATACATGTAGAATTTACATACGACAATAATAACATGAAAGGTTGTATGTGTGGGAAAGCAAAGATGTTAGGTTCTATAATTATCTATGAAGTGGTAAAGGCACTACTCTAAAGTATATTCTAGTAAGAAAAACAAGCCTGTTTTGTCAAGGATAAATCACTAAAAAAATGCTAAAAGTCATATAATTAACAAGCTAATGGAAAAGTGGAATAATATCCAAAAAGTAGCAAGAAGAGAAACAAAGAACAAATAAAATAGTAACATGATAGACAGAGATCTAGATATATTGCGTTATATCCTTTAGTCGCTCAGTTGTGTCCAACTCTTTGCGACCCCGTGGACTGCAGCCCACCAGGCTTCTCTGTCCATGGGATTCTCCAGGCAAGAACACTAGAGTGGATTGCCGTTCCCTTCTCCAGAGGATCTTCCCGACCCAGGGATCGAACCCTAATCTCCTATATTGCAGGCAGATTCTTTACTGTGTGAGCTACAGGGAAGTTCTTCTAGATATGTTAGGAATCATTAAAAGTTCGTGGACTAAATAATTAAGACAAAGACAGCCAGGCTGGATTAAAACTAACTATATGCTACTTACAAAAATAAGAACTGTTAAAGTTATACTTGACAAAGTTGGCTTTAAGGCAAGAAGTTTAACTAAAATAAAAGGGAACACTGCATAATGATAAAGTCAAAGTCGCTCAGTCATGTCTGACTCTGCAACCCCATGGACTACATACAGTCCATGGAATTCTCCAGGTCTGAATACTAGAGTGGTTAGCCTTTCCCTCTTCCAGAGGATCTTCCCAAGCCAGGGATTGAACACAGGTCTCCTGCATTGCAGGCAGATTCTTTACCAGGTGAGCCACCAGGGAAGCCTAAGAATACTGGAGTGGGCAGCATATCCCTTCTCCAGTGGATCTTCCTGACCCAGGAATCAAACCAGAGTCTCCTGCATTGCAGGCGGATTCTTTACCAACTGAGCTATCAGGGATAGCTGATAATGATAAAAGGTTGCTGCATAAAAATAAAAGGCTTACTAACCAGGAAGATAAAACAATCCTAAATTTGTCTGTACCTACTACACAGCAGGGCTTCCCTTGTAGCTCACTCGGTAAAGACTCTGCCTGCAGTACAGAAGACCCGGCTTTGATTCCTGGGTTGGGAAGATCCCCTGGAGAAGAAAATGGCTAACCCACTCCAGTATCCTTGCCTGGAAAATCTCATGGACACAGAAGCCTGGGGGGCTGCAGTCATGGGGTCGCAAAGAGTCGGGCACGACTGAGCGACTAACACTTACTTACTACACAGCAAAACTGAATGAAAGGGGAAAAAATGTATAAATCGACAATCATAGTGGGAGATCAACACATTTACCCCAGTAACTAATAAGCTGAAGAAATGAACATCATGATGAACACATTTGGTCTATTTGATATATAGTGAGAATACAGTACCCAAAAATGTAAAATCCACATTTAATGAACATGGAACATTTATCAAAATTCACCACATGCTGGGTCATATTCTTCAATCACAATGGAATTAAGCTACAAATCAATAACTAAAAAAATTACTAACAAATCCAATTTTTAGATATTACGTAGTATATTTCTTAAACCGATGGGACAAAGGAGATATTACAATGGAAATAAAAAATATTTTGAATTGAAATGATAATGAAAACATATCAAAACTTGCAAGATATAGCTAAAGCCATGTACTATGAATATTTGTGTCCCTCAAACTTCATGCTGAAATCTGATGCCCAATGTGATGGTATTTGGAGGTGGGGCCTTTCGGAGGTGATTAGGTCATAACTGGAGAGCCTTCAATAGTGTCCTAATAGTGTCTGCAATTAGTGTCCTTATAAATGAGATGCCAAAGAACTAGCTTGCCCCTTGCGCCATGTGATGTTACAATGAGAAGACCACAATCAAAGAGGTAGTAAGGGGGACTCCCCTCGTGGCCCACTGGTTAAGAATACGCCTGCCAATGCAGGGGATGCATGTTCAATCCCTGGTCTGGGTAGATCCCACATGCCGCAGAGCAACTAAGCCCAAGTACCACAACTACCAAAGCCCATGCTCTGGAGCCTGTGTGCCATAACTAGAAAAGAAGTCACAAGTCTGTGCACTGCACCGACGAGGACCAAGTGCAGCCAAAAATAAAACATTCTTTTAAAAAGAGGCAATAAGTCCTCAGACACTAAATTTGCCAGTATCATAATCCTAGACTTCCCAGCATCTACAACTGTGAAAAATATTTGTTGCTGATGAGCCATCTAGTTTACGTATTTTTGTTATTGTGGCCCATGTAGATTAAGACAGTATGCTTAGAGAGAAATTTATAACTTTAAACACATACAGAAGAAAAAAAAGAGATTTAAAAAACAATTAATTATTCATCCCAAGAAACTAGAAGATACATGCCATGTACAATGACTGGAAGGCACAATACTATAAAGATTTCAACTCTTTCCAAATGGATGTATAGATTTAGTGCAATCATTATCAAATTAAAGGAGGTTTCTTTTTGGAAACTGACAGCCAGTTCCCAAATTTACGGGAAATTTGAGGGGCCAAGAATGGCCAAGATAATCTGAAGAGTGACCTAAACTATAGGAATCAAAACTTTTCAGTAATAAACCTCTGGTACCAGCACAAAGACCAATAGACCAATGGAACAGAACAACTCAAAGATGGGCCTGCAGTGGAACCCAAAGATCCACTACAATACAATGGGGAAAGAGTGACCTTCAAGCAGTGGTACTGAATGAACTACATACCCATATGGAAGAAAACAACAAAGTGTGACCTTCAGGGATTTCCCTCATAGTCCAGTGGCTAGGCCTGTGCACTCCCAATGCAGGGGGCCTGGGTTTGATCTCTGGTCAGGAACTAGATCCCATATGCCACAACTGAGAGACTGCATGCCACAACTACAGATCCAGAGTGCCATTAACTAAGATCTGGCACAGCAAAATATATAAATAATGCTTTTAAAAAAGAAGTAGTATGACTTATATTTCACACCATGTTACACAAACATCAATTCCAGAGGGACTGTATTTCTGACAGTAAAAGTAAAATAAAAACTTTCAGAAAGTAACAGAACATCTTCGTGTTCTTAAGTTAGGCAGATATTTATTCAAAGGAAACATGAAGTTAGATTCTTAAATCAAACCTCATTAAAATGAAGACTTTCTCCTCATCACAAGATGTCACTGGAGAGTGAAAAGGCAAGTTAGTCTTTAAAAGAACATTTGGAATACAGATATACAACAAGGTACTTCTAACCAAAATGTGTAAAAAATTCTACAATTTAATAAGAGATATATGACCCAATAAAAATTCTGCAAAAGTTCTGAAAAGTTCATTTCACAAGAGAAGACTTTCAAGTGTCCAAAAAAGGTACTTAAAATAATTAATTAAAAGAATTCAAATTAATTCACAGTGACTTACTATTACACTCTCACTAGAATGATAATTTTTTTAAAACTGACAGTATCAAATATTGGTAAAGATGCAAAACAATGGAAACCCTATATACTGTTGCTGGTCATGTAAAATTAGTACAATCAGTCTCAAATTCTGTTTGACAGTATTTACTAAAGATAATCCTTGTACCCTGTGATCCAGCAATTCAACAGAAAAGTACATATTTTTACATCAAAAGATAGCAATAAGAATACTGCATTATTCTTAGTACCCCCAAAGTGAAAAAACCCAAATAATGTAAATGTCACCAACAGTTCAATCAGTAAATAAATTGTGGGATATTTTCTAAAATGGAATAATTATATAGCAATAAAAAAGAATGACCAGGGGACTTCTCTAGTCGTCTAGTGGCCAAGACTCCGCGCTCTCAATACAGGGGTCCTGGGTTCGATTCCTGCTCAGGGAACTAGATCTCATATGCCACAACTAAAAGATTCAACACAACCAAATAAAATAAGTACATACATTGTTGCTGTTCAGTCGCTAAGAAGGACCACAGCATGCACCAAAATGGATGAAACTCAAGAGAGAAATCAATCCGCAAAAGAAGACAGAGAGAACAGAGTTCATACTTTTTTCATTTATATAAAGCTCAGAAACAAGTAAAACCAGGGTATGGTAACAGAAACTAGAATACTGTTACCTTGAAGGAAATGACTAGGAGGATGGAGGAGGGAGACTTCTCAGGTACTGGTAATAGTCTACACCTTGATTTGTATGGTACTTACCAGAGTGTGCTCATCTCTATAAAAGGATCTTTAGATTTTTGCAGTATATACACATATTTATCTATCTATATTAATAATAGATACAGATTTTTTCTTTACTAAAAAAAAGAAACAGAAGAAGGAGGAAGAGAAGAAATGGAGACAAGGAAGAGAGAGAGAAGAAAAAGAAGGAAGGCTGAGGACGGTTGTTGACAATGAGCAAGAAAACTTGTAATTTAATGAAAAATGTAGTATTTTATGAACATTTTCTTGGCTGTGCAAAATTTATTGGAAAATATAAATATTAGAAGAGAACCAACTAGCAGACTACTACAAAATCCTACCATCTAAATCACCTGGTAAATATTAAGAACCATGTGTATAATGTACAAGCTACGGTACGGAGGAGGTGGAGGAGGGGGGCACAAAGACAATCTAAAGAATTTGACAGGTTTTACTAACTGGATCTGGGCTAGAGAGAAAGCTTAAAAGAGGGAAGAGTCAAAGTTTACTGTGAAGTTTCAAGTTGGGTGAAAGATTCTAGAAAAATCTAGACTAATGACTCAAGTCCGGGTGAAACTGAGGTAAGAGGCTCATGTCCATGAGAGCAGGTTAAGAGACTATTATGAATTCACCTGGCCCATCAGTAAGGCCTGCCAACTATTAGATGATATTGCTATCAGCTGACTCTATAGGTGTGATCACTCGAGGAATCAAGGACTGAAACTGCTCCAGTTAAGACCACAGGTAAAACATATTATTCAAATTTGCTTATCCCAGACCATGTTAGGTTTTTACACTCCAGGAAAGCCTGCCAGCATCGATCACACTTCTACTCACTCCAGCTTGACGCTGTTTCACTTCAGCCCTCAGGTTATCTCGCAGACGTTCCAGTTCATGAATCCTGGCTTCAAGAGCCTGTGCATCCTGTGGCTCTTCCAATTTTTTATGGAATTTGCTCACTTGAGTCTCTAGTCTTTCCAACTGAGCTAAAACACCTGAGGGAAGTAAAAAGGAACTTTCAAACAAAGTTAAGGATTTCTAACTCCAGGAATAGGAAGCACTTCAGGGAAGAACAGATGGTGACCCTTTCCCCAGAAATTTGTGGTCAGTTAAACTGTAGACAACAATTGCCAACAATTTATAAAACAAGAGGAGCTGACAACAGAAGTCAATGGTCAGCAACCTGTTAGGCAGAACACTGACCTACTGGTGGTTCCTTATTAGGCCACTGTTCAAAAAGGGAATCATCTAAATATAGCTAATCTCAGTTATCTGTGATAATAGTGACCCAGAGGAAAACAGGGTCAGAAAAAGCTTTTTTTAAATTGGGTTTTATACACGTTTTCCCAAAGTGGTAATGCATAACTATTTCGATTTAGACATCCATAGACTTGAGTGAGTATTCTGAAGCCCTGAAAAGTATCAGGAGCATAGAACTATAAAGGCACACACTCAGAGAAACTGTCCACCAATATTACTGGGTATTAGGCAGGAAAACAAGCTCACCAATGGATAGAAACTCGGGCAATCTCAGTTTCCAAGAGACTAAAGACCAATATAGTTGAGGTCCTAGTTTTAAAATGCTAATCAACTCTAACAATGAAGCATCTGCGAACATTTCCTACATATTAAGACACTTGCACTAGATCCTTTACTTGCAAAGCATGCAAAGAATTAAAGCATTTATATCTCCTATACATTATGCATCTGCTAAATGCTTCAATGAAAAAGCATTAAAACAATTACTTATCTAAGTTCCACAACCACCATCACAATGCTACTATTTCCTCCATTTTTCAGATGAAGCAATCAAGGCAGAGAAAGGTAAAATAACTTGCCCAAGGCCACAATATTTATAATGACACAGCCAGACTCAAACCCAGGTCTAACCAACACCGGTCACTGCCTGGCACGGCCCCTTCCACGGGAGTAATGCGGAAAATGGCCCCCCAAAAGTTCTGAGAAGAAAAGAAGGCTCACTGGCTAGAACTGCAGCTCTGAATACAAACATTTAGCATACTACCGCATGCAACCTACTGGTCCACAAAGGGAAAAGAGCTTAGGAATAAATAAAAGTCATTTTTCTTGCTCCAATGATCTCAGCAGCTGCCTTGAAGTCTTTCATGTTAGTTTCGTTCACCATCCTGCTCCCAAACTTCGGGTTAGAGGAGAAACGGGCTTTCAGCCTGAGAATTATTTTGAGGAGCAGTAGTTAAATGTGAACCTTTGAATACCTCCGCGAGACTCGCCGTCTTGTTTTAAAGTATTTGCCAGCTCCATCTTCTCCTCAGATTTTCAAAGGCCTTCCTAGAGAAGTGGTCCAGTCACCAGTAATTGAGTTATCCTTGTGGGCAAAAGAAAATGGCAGGAATGTATTCACACTCACGACAAACCCACAGGGCCGGCCCACACAACGCAGACACGCACCCCTGAGCCCCGACACCCCAAGGGTATTCGCTAGGATGCCCCTTCCCCGACCCGCCCGGCCCATCCCCGGGTCCGAGTCGGTGTCTACCTCCCGGTCCCTGCGCGCTACCGCGGCGCCACGCCTCTGGATCCCCTTTCTGAGTTTCCTCGCACACAGAAGGGACTGTTAAGAGGCCGCTCAACCTTCCACCCTGATCAGAGCCCGGTCCAACACTGGGTCTGTCTGTCCCTTTACCGCCACTCTTGCTCACTCTAGTCAGGGCCAAGAATTCCCGCCATCCTCCGCTTCAAAACCAAGCCAAGCGGTCCCAGCGTGCTTCGCGCTCCTGCCGTACAAAAACATGGCAGCGCTCAGGGCTCCTCCCTGATCCCGGCATGCACCGCGGGGTAGGCCTGGCCTTTCAGCTGAACAGGAAGATGGCGGCCTCTGGCGGAGAGCCGCAGATCCTGGTACAGTACTTGGTGTTACGAAAGGATCTATCACAGGCTCCGTTCTCCTGGCCAGCGGGCGCAGTAGTCGCACAGGCCTGTCACGCAGCCACCGCGGCCTTGCACCTTCACCGCGACCACCCGCACACAACCGCTTACCTCCGGGAGCTAGAGCGCATGCGCAAGGTGGTCCTTGAGGTGAGGCACTAGGCAGAGGGGTGGGACATTGAGGACGCTGGGCCGGAAGTGGGTGTAGTTTTGAGTCCCGGCGCCTAACATCTTGGAGTGGTTGTGGCATGTGGGGGGTGCGCCTAACATCATGGAGTGGGGGTGTGGGTGTGGGTGGGTGGATGTGCGCGCGCGCGTGGGTCTCACCTGCGTCCCTCTTAAATAGATGCCTGGTGAGGGCGGAGGACTTTCTACCCGCCTTCTACCTGAGCGCTGGGCTGGCCCTTTTAATGGCTGTGCTGAAAAGTACAGTCCTTATCCCTCTCCGAAAAACCGATCCAGAAGCGTAGGGACTCAGGGTTCCTTTCTGTAAGTGAAATCAAACTGAAGCATTTACCTGGGTCTGACCCCAAAATTTGAAAATAAACGTGAACCCTAGTGTGACTTGAACCTAGCATCAGAGGTAAGGTTCTTTTTACAGATGGCCAAACAGATCTTACTCTTATCTTCTGTCAATTCTGCCTCTAGAAATGTATCTTAAGAAAATAACAAGATGCATCCAAAGAGCATTGCACAAAGATACTCATAGGAGCGTTTTATAATAGTAAAAAATGTGGAAATCATTAAATTTCCAATATGATGAGTTGGCTAAACTTCGACCCTGATAATGTATTATTATGAAACTAGCCTAAATCGTGTTTTTGAAGTACATTTAGCTGGCGTGTAAGAGTGCTCATGACGTGGTGCTCGTTGAACTATATTCTACATACAAAATGATCCAGATTATGATAGGAAAAACTAAATACATCCAAGTATTAAATAGTGGAATTTTGTTTTTTTAGTAATGCTTCTCTTTTTATTTTCTACATTAAGCACATATTTTTTTTAAGCACATATTTTATAATGAAAAAATGATTGCTTTCATTTGAAAGCAGCTTTCTTCTCATAAAATTTATCTTAATAACTGAGGTGGAGGGTTGGGGTAATTCCTTCTGGGCTAGCTGGCAAAAGCATTATTTTTCAAGAGAAAACTTGCTGTTGAGTGTTGAAACATCAAACAGTAACCTGGAGGGAGAAGTCCAGAGAATCTGTAAGGCAGAAAAGAAACATAGCTTTTCCTTTGGATTCTTTTTATAGAATTTTTATAGGAAGACTTCAAGAAATCATGTGGTTCGGACATCTCCCTCTCTCTTGCTTTTAGCAGATAAAAATATTTACCCCTTTTCTCAGATGAGACATCTGAAGCTCAGAGATTAAGTGACTCGTTAGCTGTGACTCAAGAAAGGGACTTAGGAGTCACCACTGATTAAATAAAGGTGCTCCCGTAGCCACAAAGACCAATAAGATATAAGACAATAAACTCCATTTACTGAGTGCTTACTGTGTGCCAGACACAGATATGAGCCTAATTTCACTGAATCTCATTACTACTAGGAAGCATTATCATCCCATTTTACAGAGGGGAAACAAAGGTTCAGTTAAGCCACACAACTTATCAGAGATCACACAACCAGTAAGTGGTGCAAAGTTAAAGTGTTCGTCACTCAGTTGTGTCCAGCTCTCTGTGACCCCATGGACTGTAGCCCCCAGGTTCCTCAGTCCATGGAATTCTCTGGGCAAGAATACTGGAGTGGGTAGCCATTCCCTTCTCCAGGGGATCTTCTCAACCCAGGGATCAAACCCAGGTCTCCTGCATTGCAGGCAGATTCTTTAACATCTGAGCCACCAGGGAAGCCCAGTAAGTGGTATAGCAAGGGTTTGAACTCATTCTAGCTTTACTATGCTGCTCCTGGTGCTGAAGAAGGAAGGAAGGGAAGTCAATGCATTCTTCTTCAGTATGCCCAAAGGACTCAATAGATTAAGAGTAGCAATCCCAGCATCCTCTACTTTGATAAGACAAACCTCTAGTTACCTTAGTGACTTCTGCCTTTCTAGGCAAAATACACACACACACACACACACACACACACACATGTATACCTTATGCAACATAACACACTAGTGATCTTTATTTTCTGAGTGATAGCTTTACTATTTCCTATAATGGGATTCAGCATGGGTGATAAAGATGATGAGAAACAATTTCAGAAGGACACTGGAGAATCATTTGCCCACCATTGAGTTAACAAGGGAGAACTATCCCAGCAGTAAGAAAATCCTTCTTGGTTTGTGTGGACTAGGGTGGAAGTAGGAGGGAGGTGGAAGTGATGTGATTTTAGAAAGCCTTCCAGTAGTCAACTCTTCACGTCAGAGCTGGCTGTGGGATTAGTGATGGCTGTTTAGGCACCAGAACTAGGAAATGCATAGAGCATAATTACTGACAGCGCATTCCCTCAGCATCTCAGGAGGGGAGAGAAAAAAACTCCGTTTTATACACAGGAATATGAAACCTCACCCCACTCCCACCCTTTCAGGGAGTGAATGGCAAATGGAGTGATGAAGCTGTTGCTTCTGGAGACATTCTCTACAGCACCTACTTTGGTAGAGCTGTTCCTCCACTTTCAGTTAAGAGGAGTCCCCCTTCATACTTTTTTTTTGCTTTTGCTTTTTGTCACTTCCTAAGTGGGCTTTTCAGTCTGTGTTCTGCTCCTTTTAGGCCCCGGATGAGACCACCTTAAAGTTGCTGGCAGAGACGCTGCAACAGAAGAACATTGACCACAAACTGTGGATGGAACAGCCAGAGAACATCCCCACTTGCATTGCACTCCGTCCCTACCCCAAGGAAGAAGTGAGCCAGTATTTGAAGAAATTCCGATTGTTCAAATGACTGACATTATCCATTGCTTTGTATATTTGAGTATCAGCTGTATCCAGAAACTGCATGCCGTCCATCCCTAAGCACCGTGTACTCCTTTCAATGACAATTCCCTCTTCCTTTTAAATTATGGTAGTTGTTTTTTTTTTTTTCTTGGCCATGCCGCATGGCTTGTGGGATCTTAGTTACCCAACCAGGGATTGAACCCACATTCTTGACAGTGCAGAATTCTAACCACTGGACTGCCAGGGAATCCCCAAATTATGACAGTTTCTTGAAGGTCAAACACACGTTCATATTAAAGTTGTCATTAATAAGTATTTCCTCTTTTAATTAATTAGTTCAGATGGGGAAGGTAGGTGAGTAGCATTATCATCTATGGGTCTTTGCTCAAATAGAAGATTTGGTTAGACTTCTATATAGGGTCAAGGAAATGCCCTTACTTTTTTGTTAGAATTAATATAGTTCTTTCAATCACCCAGGTTTAAAACTTAGCCTTTAAAGTCCTTATCTCTTACTCATTTTCAGGTCTTATGATCGTTGAATCTAGGACACCATCAGATTTAAGATACACAGTGATTTTTACCTGTTGTTAAGAAAGGAGAAATACTGCCAGTTGAGACATATAATTAACTGAAAGATATATTCCAACTTCAAAGATATAAAATTTATTTAATAAAATATGCCAAGTACCACATCTATTTTCTTATAGCTTCCACTGCCATGGCCCTGAGTCGGGCTCTCATTTTCCTTGTGGGTGTCCCACTGGTCTGCTCACCTAGTGTATCCTGGTTACAAGGTGGCAAATGTTCTGCCACCAGGTTTATGTAGGATCACTGAGCACCCTCGTCAGTATAGGGTCCTACTTGCCCATGGAATAAAGTCAGGATTCCTTAGCTCAGCCCTCAGGCCCTCCGTGCTTATATTTCCTAACTAACTTTTTAGGTGACTGTTCAATTCCCTTATTCAAACTTGATGTATCAATAAAGACACTCCAGTTGCTGCCCTCCAGTTTCTGGCCTGGGAGTCGAATGTTAGGACTCTTCTCCTCCCTTGCCTGCCTCTGGATGTAAGCTGTTTCTGGCTCAAATGCTACCACCTTCACAAAGTCTAACCCAGCCACAAATGATAGCACCCATCTCTGAACAGTGCTTAAAAATAGGCAGGGTCAGGGGCATAATGGAGGATTGGCCTTGAACAGGGAGAGAGGGAGAAAACTTTTTTGAGACTAGAGGAGAGGGAGTGGGGAAAAGTATGAATATATATAAGTTTATAGTGGAAGAAATACCTGTTGACTTAATTTTCTTCTATGAAGTGGGAAGCATATAGTCTTCCAGAACAGTGAATAAACTTTCTGAGCACCTTATTACATGGCATAACATAGTGGTTAAAGCTCACACTCTAGTGTCAAACAGCCTGGGTCCAAATCCTGGCTTTCATACATTTCAGCTGTGTGAACTTGGGCAAATCACTCAACTTCCCTGAGCCTAGGCCCTTCATCTGTAAAACAGGGATTTACAGGAGTGCTGTGTGGATTAAATGTGTCAGTGTGTACAAATCCTGTGGAACAATGCCAGGGCACTCAGTGCCAGAACCTGAGCGTAAAAATGTAAGACACAGCCCTCAAGAAGCTTTCAATCACGTAAGCTGGTTGTCTAACTCCTTTTCTGTGAAGTGATACCATCCACTCCCTGTTACCTCAATTGAAGACAACTAGGTAAATGTTTCCAAATGATACTGAATTTTTAAAAAACCTATATATTTTTAAATTCAAATTCTGCAGTAAGACAGTGATACAGTCAGAGAGAGATGAGTGTCTATACAGTTGGGAGGTAACAGCTTAGGCAAATGCCTAAAGCAGCTCCCAAGGGAAGAAAGGACAGGCACTCAAGTGAGAGTACAGCAGCAGGGAAGCAGCAGCTTTCCTTAGTAGAATCAGCTAAGCTTATTATCATCTGAACTTGATCAGAGGTTCTCAAAGTGTAGTCCCTAGATCAGCATCATTTGGGTACTGGTTAGAAATATAAATCCTGGGGCCCTACCCCAGACCTACTGAACTGGAAACTCTGGCATTATCTAGAAGCGGCCTGGTTCCAAGAGGCAGCCAACCTAAAATGTGTATGATGAATGTGTGTGATTTCAAGTCAACACATATGATAGTGTATGATGTGCTTACAGGAAGGAGGCAGGATGGAGAGCAAGAATCTGGTACTAATTACACTATATCTGGCCTTGCACACCAAGTTTACATATAAAAAAGAATTTTTTCTCCAATGGAGCAAGCTTGTGTTGCTAGACCTAGAACAGGCAGCAAGTCCTTGAAAAGAATCTATGCTTTGGTGAGTTTCTTACATGTGAAAAACATCTGATTATGAACAAACTGCTTCCATCGTGCTAATCAATTTGACAATTTTGTGATCCAGGCTGACTTGTCTCAAGGTTACTGATTCAGAAAGGCTTAGACTTGTCCAAGATCAAAGTCAGTGCCAAGACTGGGGTTGAAAACCAGATCTTTCGTCAGTCCAGTTTTCTCTTAACCTCTTATAGCTGGTTACTCATTTGATTTTCAGCCATGTAGATACTAATTGAGAGTGGTTTGAAAAGGGGTCATGAGTAGTTGGAGCACTAGGAAGAGCTGTATGTTCCATTTTAAATTGGTTAAATGACATTCCAGATTATAAATCAGCCTCCTGTGACTGTAAGCTGTGTGACTCTGTACCCTAGGGATCAATTATCAGTGGAGGAGCTAACAAAATTCAGCTTGTGAACGTATACAGCTGAGGATCAGCACCTAGGTCATTGCTTCCCACGGGGCTGGCAGAATGCAGAGGGCTCCCCCACGGGGGCATATTACAGTCACCTTTTATTGTTGTTTAATCAACGTATCTTCCCCACAGATTCTGAGATGCCACCCTAGGGGTGTGCACTGCTTCCTGGTTGAGAACTGTGGCAATAGTGAACCACTGTTGCTGACAAGGTGTTAGTGTGGAAAAATGGCTGAAAACCACTCCCCTCGGCTACCTTGGCCTCACAAGTTTTAGTCATTCTCTGAGGTCAAGTCAACACAGCCCCAGCTTCTACTCTACCTTGAGATCCAGATATGGAAGGTCTTAAATGCTGGCCTATGCCCAAGTTTTAGCTTTGGGGGCTTTTCAAGGGCCAAAAAAGTGGCACCCAAGTTCTGAACCTAGGTTTTTGAGAAATAAAAAACAGATGAAGAAAAAAAATATCATTTTTACTATCAATAGGTTAGACAATAGAGCTTTATGTGACCCCTGAATGGGCTTGCTACTTTCCTGTCTGAAGGGAAAGCAGATACCAAAGTTTCTGCTTCTGGTCAAGAGAAGAAGTAAAGAGAGAATAATAAATGCCCCACATTCAATCTGTCAAACTTTGATTAATTCCACCCAAATGAGAAACATGGACCAAAAGCAATCATCCACCAACTAGGCTATTCATTCAACCTGCATGAGGAAGAGCAAGGGGTGGAACAGCAGACTCCATATGAACATTATGTTTATTAAACTCACTCTATAAAGAAAGAAGTGGGGAAAAGGCATTCCACCTTCTCTCCAACACTGGATGTAAGGAATTCTGAAGAACTAATGAGTGTTCTGACAACAGGTTCAAGATGGATTTGCTTGGAATGGGGAGGAAAGTTGGGACATTAGTAAGGACAATGTATGAAATTAGGCACAAGACTGATGATGTGGTGGCAAAAGGAAACTGAGCCATAAGAAATATGGTGTTACTTCCTTATGGTACAAATGGAAAGAGCAAGGCAGGTGACAATCCCAGATTTGAGATTAAAGCTGAACACTGCTACTTAATGGCTGTGCAATTTGGCCTCTGTTTCCTGATCTGTGAAAAATTCCTAATGGGAATTAAACAATCAATTCAAATTTAAGGACCAATTTAAACAATACCCCACAAAAGCACTATCACCACACAATTTAGTGTGCAATTTAATACAATCATTATAATCAATGTTTTTTTTCCCTCATTTTATTGCATTATGGAGATGTCAGATCAAGACCTTGCACTGTGCTAGGACCTGTAGTACAATAATAGCAGTGTGCATAGGTATCTCTGACTTGATATCATTGACTATAAAGGGAAAGCTTTTAAACTTTCACTGTTAGGTATGTTGAGTTGCTGAAGGTTTCAGCAGATCCTTTGTTTAGATTAAGGATGCTCCTTTCTGCCACTGCTAGGCCAAATTAAAAAAAAAATTCATATATATGTGTGTTTAAAAAAAATCAACCACTTTTTTTTCATTTACTGGGATGATCACTTTTTTTTTTTTCATTGTTACCATGGTGAATTGCAGTGCAAGATTTCAAATACTGAACCATCTCTGTCCTTGGAATAAACCCTACTTTGGCATGATGATTTAGTATGAGGGAGATGGCCTAGTTAAGACACCTGGGTTCCAGTTATCTTTCCATCTCATGGCTTTAAAAACTAATCATATGATGACTTCCAAATTTGTATCTTCAGCAACTCCCCTAAATTTCAGCCTCCTCTATATCCTATAGGTTTGACAGCTCCTCTGGGATGTCTAATAGGAATCTCAAACTTATCATGATAGAAAATAAACTTGCCTTTTTCCCCCCATCCCTGTTAATGGAAATTCCATCCTTCCAGTTGCTCAGGCCAGAAACCCTGGAGTTGTTTTTGATTTTTCTGTCATTTCACATCTGATATGTTGGCAAATACTGTTGTCTCTATTTTCGCAATACATCCAGAACCTGACCACTTCTCACAATTTCCACTGCTACGATTCATCTTAGCAGACGGAGAAAGTGGTCCAAGCCATCTTCTCTCACCTGTACTATTGTAGTAGGCTCCTACAGGTCTACCTGCTTCTGCATTTGCCTTCACCACAACTATTCTCAACACAAAATCCCGAGTGATCCTTCCAAGACCCAAGTAAGATCATGTCATTCCCCTGCTTACGATCCTCCAATGGCTGGTCATCTCAGAGTAAAAGCCAAAGTTCTTATGTTGGTCTACAAGGCTCTACCTCCTGGCCCTCATTACTTCTTTGACTTCATCTCCTACTATTCCCCACATTTACTCTGCTCCTGCCTCAAGACTTTTGCACCTCTGCCCAGAAAGCTTTCTCCATACAATCACACAAATGCCCCCTTCTCTGAAGACCTGACTTTCCTGTTTTAAACTGCAAACGCTTTCCTCCAGGAGTATTCTCTATCCTTCCTTTCCTACTTAATTTTTCTTCACAGCACTAATCACCTGGCACACCATGTATTTTGTTAATTTGTCAAATCAACCTTCATTAGAAGACAAGCTCTGTGAAGGCAGCAGGAATTTTCATTGTCTTCATGGATGGAGCCCCAGTTCCTGGAATAGTATCTGGGAAATGAATAGTAGGTACTAAATGAATACCTGTTAGCTGAAAATATATATTATCATCATTAAGAATATTCATTCTTTAAAATATTTATTGTGCAATGTTTCAAAAGACAAACCCTAAAAATTCCCAAGACTAACTACAACCTGCTTTTTGTGATAGAGTGACTATTTGGGGTTATAAAAATTACATATCAAAGACTGACTTAAAAACCTAGAACCAGCCCATTATACTAACCTTTCTACTTTCATATAAACATGAAAAGTTCTTAATAAAAAGCTTTAGTAAAGCTTTCAAGAGATGGTAGGATGAAATTTTAAACCTTAGGCTTAGATGTGCATGAGTCTTTAAATAGAGTATTTTCTATGTAAAGTCTTTTCCCCAGTTGGTTTTGGGTGAACTTTGAAAGTCTAGCTTACTAAGTAATTATCATTTAAAACACAACTGCCAACATCAGAAGAATATTAAAAATAAAAGCTAATTAAAAATTAATGCCTATTTTATAAAAGTTTGCAAGTTAAAAAAAATGAACAGGAAATATGCAGCCTAAAATTTAGTACAGGCAGGTGTATAATAGATTACTGTAGATTTGAAAACAAACAAAGCAGAACTAAGCAGAGCTGGCTCTTCAGGTATGAGGAAAATTCCAGGTAGGACATTTGTTCTGTTACAGGGAGCTCTTCCTGTTCATTACCTGTCCCATCTGTCCACTTTCCAAGTTGATTAAGTCACTCAGCTTCCAGGGGCACTGGTTTTAAAGGCCAATCTAATTTCTCATAAAAATTTCACAAAAAGCCATCTTACTTGAACAAGAGTAAGATTCATCATGAATCACTTCTCAGTGGCATTATCTTGTAGGTGAACAACTTGTAGGGCACTCTATATACTCACTTTGGGAGGGAAAACCAGAAGGGATTATCTCTCCTGATCTGCCTTTTTCTATTTTCTCATTAAGTGTAGACAGTCCAATCAGCTGATCTTCAGTGGGGAAGTAATTTCTGAGAAAAGTAAAGGATGTAATAGTAGCATGTGTCATCAATAAATATAAAGCTTGATCAGTCAGTAATGAAGTACTACTTTTGAGTAACTTATATGTGCATTAATTTTTTTAGACACCACCTTTACAAAAATGGAAGTATTAAAGATATCTGCTGGGATTTCCCTGGTTGGTCCAGTGGATAAGAGTCTGCCTTGCAATGCAGGGGACACGTGTTTGATCCCTGGTCAGGGAACTAAAACCCCACACTGCAACTCCTGAGCCCACGTGCTGCAAACCACAGAGCCTGTGCCCCACAATGAAAGACCCTGCATGCAGCAACAGAGATCCCTTGTGCCACAACTGAGACCCAGTATATATAAAACTGCTAATGTTCCGTAAATTCTCCAGATGTGTGGAGACTCACATTTCATGAAAAAAGGGAACAATCAACAGGATAGAATCATGATCTTTTCTTGAACTCTTGGATACTCTGCAATCTTCCATTAGCTTAACAACCCAGACTCTAGGCAGAAAACTCAGCTCCTGGTCTATCAGCTCGTTTCCCTTATTTAAACACTACTTCTGAATCTATTTCTTCAATTGGCAGTTGAATCAATTAGCTATGTAGAAGGCAGTGAGTGGGGGGTAAAGGAGAGATGTGAACCTCTTTAATAAGCTTACAATTTGGTGGAGGAGAGAAACACCTATCTATACCCAAGTGCCAAATGGAGGCCCCAACACTGCACAAGACAGTACAGAATCTAATCTAAATGCAGGGTCCAAGGAGGGCTTCATGGAAAGGGCATCTAAATTGAAGCCATGAAGGATGAGCAGTAGGGAGAAAGGAGGAACATTACAGGCTGGAGAAAGAGAATGAATATGGCAATGGACGTGGGAACACAGCAAATCCAAGAATAAAGGCCAGATCAGTGTGGCAGGATCATTTGCTTCGGGACAGTGTAGAGGGTCATCAAGCTTAAATGGCAGATTGCAGATCAGTTACAGGCAAGAATTAGTCACTAACAGATTTTGAAGATTGTGTTAAAAGAGACTTCTGTGATGACTGTGCAGGATGACTGTAAAAGGCATGAAGGTAGTTACTATAGTCACCCCCACTGAAAACAGTCCAGAATTCAACCTCTGACCAATAGGCTTAGAAAGAAGATAGCTATGAGGCATTACAAAAGACAACTTTTTTACAATTCAGTTAATATGAGTAGGATGAAGTTGTTGAAAATGACCACTAACAGAATGATGATGCAATTAATTGAGGTAGGGGATAAAGAAGCTATTTATCGGGAGATAAGTTATTTGGTTTAGGGCTTAAGTTTGAGGTGCTGGTAAGGGTGGGGGTGGAGGGGAGGCAAAGTTGAGGTGGGATCCATCTACATGGTAATGTTCACCAATTGGAAATTAGGGACTGAATCTTGAAGAGAGATCTTGGCTAGAAGAGTGGACTTAAGATGCACTTTAATGTAAGCAGCATGATGTTCAAGGGAAAAGATGAAATTGTTCAGAGAATACAGGGATTTGCTTGAGAACTATTTCCCTTGCACAAATTTAAAATACAAAAAAAAAAAAAAAAAAAAAATCAGTATTTTAACACATTCAAAATTAGTGCCCAGATTTTATTTTCAAATCAGAAACTCCAGCAAGCTTTGAAGGAACTTGAGTTCCTGAGAAAAACTTCTAATTCATCAGGATTCCCAGTCTTTATATGTCACTGTCTAAAGATGCTTTTAATAATTGAATTGGGCAGTGGAAACAATGGCCGGTTTCATCACAAAGCCCAAGGATGTACTCTTGGGTCTAGCACCTATCAGCCACCTGACCATTTATCTGAGATTCAGTTTCACAATTTGTAAGATGGTACTATGACCTACTCTCATTGCTTTGTAGGATTTTGAAGATCAAATGACATATTGTATGTGAATGTGCCATACAAGGAAATTGTTAGCACAAGAGTATTAGCGTAGCATATTGCCTGGCAGAGCAGAAGTGAAAGTATTTAACTCATTATAATCATCTCCATTACTAGGAAGGAGGGAACTTAAGGCAAATGTCTTTATGCTTCCCACACTTCCTATCAGAGTGTCTGTACTGCAGCTGCTGCTGCTAAGTCACTTCAGTCGTGTCTGACTCTGTGCGACCCCAAGCTCATATAAAATGGTATTAATCCTAAAAACTCGTTCTAAGGTTTGTTTTATTCTGTACCTTAGGACCTCTGGGCACTGGAGTGGGAGGAAAACCTGATGGAATATGGAAATTATTCCTTTAGCATTTTAAGTCTTCTTTCCTCAAGCCAATGTCTCAGGTTGGCCACAGATACCTCTAGGCGTTGCTTAGTTCTGCTGGTGGCACAGAACACCAAAGTTCTGAGATAAGCACCAATGATGAGACCAGAGCTGTCCTCCAGCATAGAAAGATTTGTTGTCTGCAGAAGGATCAAGAGTGAAGAAAAAGTGAATGCTCCGTGATCTGCTCCAAGAAGCCAAATTTCTTGGCTCACAAAAGGGATCTTCTGCCAGTCCTTTTTACACCTACCCCACAAGGGACCCACATTTTCCCAAGTTCTCTCACACTAAAGGAATGATACTGCCATTTCATGGAGCCTTCACTTTCTGTTAAGATACGCAGGGACAGAATGCCTCTCCCAAACTGTGTCGGGACTCCTGCTGACTTCATGCTAAAGCTCACCCCCATTCAGACTTCCAAAGGGCAGGCTCTCTGCCTGCCTCAAGAGAAGGGGCCTTGTTTGCAAAGCCCATTTTTAAAAGTCATAAAGTCTGCAGACTCCATATGAAGTCCTAAATCATATGGTCCAGAATAGTTCATCCAGAACTTGAAAGAGTTGGTTTCAAATCCCAGTTCCAGTGTGTGTGTGTCTATGTGTTAGTTGTGTTGACTCTTTGCGACCCCATGGACTGAAGCCTGCCAGGCTCCTCTGTCCATCATCCAGAACTTGGAATTAAAACAGTTGATTTCAAGTCCCAGTTCCACTGTGTGTGTTACTCAGTTGTGTCCAACTCTGCAACCCCATGCACTGAAGCCTGTTAGGCTCCTCTGTCCATGGAATCTCCAGGCAAGAATACTGGAGTGGGTTACCTTGTTCTTCTCAGGTGATCTTCCCAACCCAGGGATCAAACCCACGTCTCCTGTATTGCAGTCAGATTCTTTTATGACCTTTCTCTTTACAACTTTCTGAGAGGACTGCGGAGTTTTAAATGAGATAATGTACCTACAAAGTGCCTTAGAAATTGTTACAGTGCAAATTTATTTTCCCTTAATTTTTAGAATTATCATCAGCTCCAAAAGATGGTGTAAAAGCTATAAAAGCCTTAACTTCTGGCAGGATAGGGCTGTTATGGAAGAGACCTCAGCTACTGGCTGGCACAGTTTCCAAGAGAGGATCCGAAAGCCTAGTTCATATTCCTCCTGAAGCCAAAGGCTGATTTAAATTACTTTTCATTCCACTGGCTGACATAACTCTAGTAACATGTTTGAGAACTCAGAACACTGGTTACCAGTTGAAAAGAGTAGCTCTCTGGGGCTCTTTCCTGCCTCCAGGCCTTCCTTCACATATGCTATTTCTCAGAATTCTCAGGGTGCTCTGCACTGAGCTCCTTCCTCTGAATCCTACAAACCTCACTTCAAATACAATTTCTTCCTCAAGAAAACCTTCTTTGAGTCACCAGACAAGGTCTCACTCACAAAGGAACTTCTAACTCCCTTTATACTGTGTGTGCTCAGTTGCTTTAGTCGTGCCCGACTCTTTGCAACCCTATCAACTGTAGCCAGCCAGAATTCTCTGTCCAGGGGATTCTCCAGGCAAGAATACTGGAGTGGGTTGCCATGCTCTCCAGGGGACTCTTCCTGACCCAGGGATTGAACCTGTGTCTCTTATGTCTCATGCATTAGGATTCTTTACCAGTGGATTCTTTACCACTGGTGCCATCTGGGAAGCCCTTCCTTTATACCATTTTATCCAATTGTGATTGTAACTATGCAAGTCCTGCAATGTGTATATATGGTCTGAGAGGGCAAGGTTCACATCTCTCTGACTCCTTCCATATCCTTGTGCCCTGGATAAAGACAATAAAATGTGCTGAATGAGGCCAGAGCTTTGTGCTTCTTCAATCTTGTTAAGAGCTCTTGTGGCAATGAACATAAAGCATATAAAGAAAACTAATTTAGTGCTGCAGAAAGGGTTCTGGATGGAGGAATGCTTCCTTTGGCAGATTTCTCCAATAAAAAAGAATTTATGGGCTTAATTAAATCATCAAGATTCTTTTCAGAGGAGCAGGAATGGTCAAGGATTGAGCTTGTCCTGAATTATTCACTGTATTCAAGTGGAGCAGCTCTTCTGGGAAGAGCAGTTAACGTCAACAAGGAAATCGGCACAACTTCCTATGTAAACGGACAACGGTCCTTTCTTTCTCTTTGATTGGGAGGGCCCAGGAGACAGCTTCCAAGTGTGGAAACTACCTTAGGCAAAACCATACTTTGCTTAGGCAAGACAAAATTCTATATCAATCGCACTTTTTCCTCAGTTGTTACTATTTGCTTTTCCAATGCCTTCCCGCCCCTACCTTAAGATAAATTTAAATCAATGTTCAGCTTCATCTAAGAGAAATATCCTTTTTTTTTCCCACCTTATCCTGACTTTTGGAAAAAAGGCGTTGCTCCCCCAAAAGTATGACTTCAGACAACAGCTACAAAATCTGTGTGTGGTTTGTGTGAGAGTATGTGTGTGGCAGACCCCCTCTCTTTCCTCTAAAATCACACTTGCTCACCCTCCTTACCCCACTGGCTCTGGGTGGCCAAGTGCTGGTAGATCTGGTTGCCTTAAAAACACACAAACAAGAAATAGGGCCTGATTTTCATAAAATGCATTGCCAAGAAGGAGCCTCAAGTAAGCTTCAACATCTGTGTAATAATAAAAAAATGTCTGTCTGTAAACACCAATGACTGTGAGAAGATTATCTCGTGGCCAAGCAGTGCTGCCTGGACCTGATTTCCTGGGTCAAGAAACAGCAGGACCACAGCATTTAATCATCAGACAAGTGGCCAGAGTTAGAACTTCCTCACAGCCTCCTATCACTGAGACCTTCTCAAATTTCACTGGGCTGGTTCGTATTAGGGTGACTCTGAGGAGCTTTGGCTTCAGGGATCCTTTGTTATTATCCTTTAATTATCATTAGTCATTTGGGTTTTGACAATTTCTGCACGATGTAGGCTTCTTTTCCTCCCTGTAAAAGAAGAGGCAACTCATTGATTCAGTACCTGGAAAAGTGAATTTCCTGTGGAATGACAGGAATTACATAGAAGCAAGCAATTTTATTTTCCTCAAATGTAGCAATAATTTTAATCTGTACATACATAAAACAAACAGTGCAATTATAAAACCTTGAAGGTGACATGCATATTTAAGGTGCAGTTGGGATGGGGGAGGATGTTAGCATCTCCAATTTTCCTTACCGTTTTTTTTTTTTTTTAAGTTCCTTATGCAAAAAGCACTGAGTCAGGAAACTTCATCTGGAATGCTGAAGTTAAAGGTGAACTTCCTGAAGTTTGCACGTCTAAGTATCACAAACAAAACAGAAATGACCTCCTAGAACAGTTTGAGAGGGAATAGAGTAATATGGCTGGGCTTTCAAGCTGGGAATGAATGAAATCAGGGATGCATTTTTCTGAAAAACTAAAAGAATGTTTGTAACTGAGTGTCCTGTTTCTGTTTCACAGTTGCTACCCACTTGAGCCCTTCCATCAATCTTTTTATTCGGTATAGGTTCTAAATAGATGCTGTTCAATGTTACTTGTAACTAAGGGTGATGAGATGCAGAAAAGAGGACCTGGGAAAATGGCTTCTTCCTTGATGTCTGAGTCCGTGCTCCTCTTCCATTGTTAGTTCTTATGGCCTTTTCTCTGCCATGGAAGCAGAGGTAGCTGGTGCACAATGTCAGATGTTGTCATCGTTCACAGGCCCGGGGCGGGCAGTAAAGGCGAGGGATGGGGGGGGTCTACCTTTGCTTCTTCCACAATCCCTTTCTCAGGCTTTCCTGGCCTTTCAGTTGGAACTTCGAGAACTAGAAAGTCAGTTCACTGGGTCCTTGACTCTGAGGCCAGGATGAGACAAGACATGGTAGAGTGACAAGACACAAAGGGAAGATGTGGTACCAATTAGCCTCGGAGCAGGATAGAGAGATTTATATTTGCACTGATGAGAATTCAAATTCCCAAAGTCAATCTAAAAAAAAAAAATGAAGATTTTTCCTTTGAGTATTACTTTTTTCTCTGTACAGGTGGTCTGTGCACTTCTGGTGAGAATTCCTTGCACCACTCTCAAGTCAGCTGATGCCAAGGACACGCCGGGGCAGGAGGCGCTAGGCTCGTCTGGAACAGCTCTTTCTGGCAGTGACATTTTGATTTGAAACCCAAAGTAAATCCATACGTGGTGTCATGGTTATTAAAATAATGAAATATTACTAGCCAAAGGTAACTGCAATTCAATCAATGTTATATTTCCACACACAGAAGTTTAGAAAAATCAAGAGTATGATAATAAAAACCATAAAATTAAACAGAAGAAAATCAATTTCTATAAGAAATCAAATATATTTACAGTGAGATTTAAAGGGAAAAATAAGCTACTTGAATCATAAATTTAATTTTATTTTAAATAACTTTAGCTAACCTCAGCTGTTAATACAATAAAAGCAGAAAGAATAGGCTGCCTTTTTTTCTTCCAGATCAGAGAATTGTATCTACAATAACTGACATAACTCACTTCTTGTCCTTCACCCATCTCATCAAAAAATTATTGCATTTCCCCCCAAAATTGTATTTTTTTTTTTTTTGGGATTCCTCTGTGAATACACTCATTTCGTCCTCATTCCTGGAGGCATCTTGGTTTAAATCCATCTTTAAAAAAGGGAGAAGGGGTACATATGTGGAGGCAAAATATTCTCTCGAAGCCGACAGATACAGAGTTGCTAGAAGAAGCTGATTGTACACACAAGCTGCCTGGTTGGGAAGGGTAGGGCTGTTGATTCAGAGACGTGTGACAGCCTTTGGTGGACGGACACAGGCCAAGCCCCACCGGGCCCTTCTTCCCTGGCAGGGTCGGGACTGAGCCAGCTGAAGTGGAGCTGCATCTTCCCCTTAGAACTCGTCCTTCTGGTTCTCCTCCAAAAGTCTTCATCCAGATAAGAAGCCAATGACTGATTACAAAAATAAGAATAATTAAATTTGGCTCAAGAGAGAGATTGTCCAACTGTTCTGCCTTGTTATTTTATCAATATCCAAGGCCTTTACAAAAAAGAAACAAAAACATCTCTCAATCTCCCAACAAAAGTGAACTTTTTTTCTTTTTTTTTCTTTTTTTTTTTTTGCTCCAAATGCTAGGACCTGAAGAATGGCTGCAGATTGAGATATCAAAAATCTCAGAAAAATATATAATATATTTGTATATCTCTGTAGGTCTATTATTTAAATTTCACATTCCTTTAAAAGTGGTTATTCAGTCAGTAGCTGCTGAAGGAGGCTCTTCTGCTGGGCCTGGGGGGTCTGTGGTCCTGCCGTGGGTTTTTGAGTTCCCAGTGGACCAGGCTGGTTCAGGTAAGGGTCCCCGCCTACCAGATTCACTGTACACTGGACGTCAGCAAACACCTGAACCTGTTGCACCTGCTGGAACACAAATAAAAGATGTGTTTAGACAGAAGGGTCTGCCCCCCCGGCTTATGAGTGGGTACTACTTGAAGTGGAAACTCACTAGAGCATTCCTCTAGTCTGTAGTCACCACAGAGAAGAACTCTTCTGTCTTCTTGTCCTACAAAAAGAAAATCGCTGCACTCATTTTGCTCAGGGTTCTGGAAAGTTCACACTTTAAAAATAAAATCAAAATTGGAATGGTCAAGCCTCCTACAGGGTTGCCATCAATACTGAAAATGAGCATCATTGCTAATATTGTTAAGATTGGGAAAAGCCCAGTTTCAGTCTGGGTATCCAGTGGTGGGTTTAAAAAATAGGTATATTATTTGGAAAACTGGTTATAAAAGTATTCTATGGATGACTTTAGGAG